AGAGAGAAAGGGAGGGAGAGAGAGAGGGAGAGAGAGGGAGAGAAAGGGGGAGGGAGAGAGAGAGGGAGAGAGAGAGGGAGGGGGAGGGAGAGAGAGAGGGAGAGAGAGAGGGAGAGAAAGGGGGAGGGAGAGAGAGAGGGAGGGAGAGAGAGAGGGAGAGAGAGAGGGAGGGAGAGAGAGAGGGAGAGAAAGGGGGAGGGAGAGAGAGAGGGAGGGAGAGAGAGAGGGAGGGAGAGAGAGGGAGAGAGAGAGAGGGAGGGAGAGAGAGGGAGAGAGACAGGGAGAGAGAGGGGGAGGGAGAGAGAGGGAGAGAGAGAGAAAGGGAGGGAGAGAGAGAGGGAGAGAGGGAGAGAGAGGAAGAGAGAGAGAGGGAGGGAGAGAGAGGGAGAGAGAGAGGGAGGAAGAGAGAGGGAGAGACAGGGAGAGAGAGGGGGAGGGAGAGAGAGGGAGAGAGAGAGAAAGGGAGGGAGAGAGAGAGGGAGAGAGGGAGAGAGAGGGAGGGAGAGAGAGAGGGAGAGAGAGAGGGAGAGAAAGGGGGAGGGAGAGATAGAGGGAGGGAGAGAGAGAGGGAGGGAGAGAGAGAGGGAGGGAGAGAGAGGGAGGGAGAGAGAGGGAGGGAGGGAGAGAGACAGGGAGAGAGAGGGGGAGGGAGAGAGAGGGAGAGAGAGAGAAAGGGAGGGAGAGAGAGAGGGAGAGAGGGAGAGAGAGGAAGAGAGAGAGAGGGAGAGAAAGGGGGAGGGAGAGAGAGAGGGAGAGAGAGAGGGAGAGAGAGTGGGAGAGAGAGAGGGAGAGAGAGGGGGGGGGAGAGAGAGAGGGAGAGAGAGAGAGAGGGGGGGAGAGAGAGAGGGGGGGAGAGAGGGGGAGAAAGGGGGAGGGAGGGAGAGAGGGAGAGAGAGAGGGAGAGAGAGAGGGAGAGAGAGAGGGAGAGAGAGAGGGAGAGAGAGGGGGAGAGAGAGGGGGAGGGAGAGAGAGAGGGAGGGAGAGAGAGAGGGAGAGAAAGGGGGAGGGAGAAAGAGAGGGAGGGAGAGAGAGAGAGGGAGAGAGAGAGAGGGAGGGAGAGAGAGGGAGAGAAAGGGGAAGGGAGAGAGAGAGGGAGGGAGAGAGAGAGGGAGGGAGAGAGAGAGGGAGGGAGAGAGAGGGAGAGAGAGAGAGGGAGGGAGAGAGAGGGAGAGAGACAGGGAGAGAGAGGGGGAGGGAGAGAGAGGGAGAGAGAGAGAAAGGAAGGGAGAGAGAGAGGGAGAGAGGGAGAGAGAGGAAGAGAGAGAGAGGGAGGGAGAGAGAGGAAGAGAGAGAGAGGGAGGGAGAGAGAGGGAGAGAGAGAGAGGGAGGGAGAGAGAGGGAGAGAGACAGGGAGAGAGAGGGGGAGGGAGAGAGAGGGAGAGAGAGAGAAAGGGAGGGAGAGAAAGAGAGAGAGAGGGAGAGAGAGGGAGGGAGAGAGAGAGGGAGAGAGAGATAGAGGGAGGGAGAGAGGGAAAGAGAAAGAGAGGGGGGAACATGTTCGGAAGTGAGCTTTTATTGGGGGGACTCTTATTCTTAGAAAGTTCTATCTAAAAAAGGGCAGAAGGGGCAGGACTATAAGGGACAGGTGAGTGTAACTCAACCCTAGAGGAACACCCTATAAAGAAGACCTCCTTGCTAGCTGAGCTAGACCCCCCCCAAGCCACAGCGAATGCAGTGGTGGTCAGAATCTGAGGCATCAGGACCTGGCAATCAACTGATTTCAACAAGGGTGCCAAGACCATTGGATGGGGAAAGAATCATGTTTTCAACAAACGGGAAAACTGAATATTCATATGTAAAAGAATGAAGCTGAGCTCTACCTCACACCATACACAAAAACTAACTCAAAATGTACCAATGACCAAACTTAGGAGAAAATTTATGGGGAAAGTCTCACAACATTTGATTTGGCAATGACTTCTTGGAGATGACACCAAAAGCACAGGCAGCACAGGAGAAAAACTTCTGCATATCAAAGAGAAAGATAACCTATAAAATGGGAGAAAGTATTTGCAAACCATATGTCTGATAAAGAATATCCAGAATACGCAAAGAACTGCTACCACTCAGTTATAGAAAAAGCAAATGACCCAATTAAAAAACTGGCAAAGGGCTGGGTGTGGTGATCACATTTGTAATCCCAGAAATTTGGGAGGCCAAGGAAGGAGGATCAAAAGTTTGAGGCCAGGGCTGGGGATGTGGCTCAAGCGGTAACACACTCACCTGGCATGCGCAGGGTGCTGGGTTCAATCCTCAGCACCACATAAAAATAAAGATGTTGTATCCACCAAAAACTAAAAAAATAAATATTAAAAAAAATTATCTCTCTCTCTCTTAAAAAAAAAAAAAGTTTGAGGCCAGATTCACAACTTAGTGAAACCCTATCTCAAAATAGAAAGGGTTAGGGATGTAGCTTGGTGGTAAAGTCCCCTGGGTTCAATCCCCAGTACTAATACCAAGGGAAAAGAGAAAAAAAAAAAAGGTTAAAAATTGTGTATTTTGGGGGGTTGTGGCTCAGCGGTAGATCGCTCGCCTAGCACAGGCGAGGCCCTGGGTTCGATCCTCAGCACCACATAAAATTAAATAAATGAGGGTATTACATCCAACTACAACTAAAAAATAAATATTTTTAAAAATTGTGTATTTTTACTATAAATATAAATTAAAAATAAATTGACAAAATTATATTTTATAAAGCAGTTAATTGTGGCATTTAGCATTGATGAATGGAAAAAAAAGTGTTTGAGTTTCTGTAAAGATATCACAAATAAAACAGAACAGCAAAAATGAAAACAGATGTGCATCCAAAACTAGTGTACATGAAGGTTTACACAGCATTATCCACATCAGCAAAGGTGGAAACAGCTTCATGGCCACTGATGGGGGACTGGCCCATCCATGTAATGAAATGTCAACCGTCAGAGAAGGAAGCCCTGACATGTGGCCCCCAGAGTGGGTGCAGCTCCAAGGCATCAGCCAAGCACAAGGAGCAGACACAAAAGGCACCGTGGTGTAGCTCATTTGTCTCTGGTTGCTGGGGATTGAGATGATGCATGCTAGGCAAGTGCTCTACCCCTGACCCATACTTATACCTCCATTCTGTAAATGATTTAATTTATAGGAAGTGTCCAGAATAGGTGAATCCATAGAGAGTTTGGGAGGGAAGGGGTTGGAGGGTGACTGACAAGGTGTACAGGGTTTCTTCTTCAGGTGATGAGAAGGTTCTGGATCATGATGGATGAATATACCAAAAGCCACTGAACCCTGCATTTTAAATGGGTGGAGTGGCCGGGTGCAGTGGCACAAGCCCGTGATCCCAGTGGCTTGGGAGGCTGAAGCAGGAGGATCGTAAGTTCAAAGCCAGAACAGCGAGGCGCTAAGCGACTCAGTGAGACCCTGTCTCTAAATAAAATACAAAATAGGGCTGGGGATGTGGGCCCTTTGAGTCCAAATCCTGGTACAAAAAAACCCAAAGTGGACTGTACAGTGCAAGAATGATCAAGAAAGCTGTTACAGAAAGCCCAGGAGAGTTATAAACTGAGCTTAAAAGCCTGAGAAAAAGAGGGCTTGGGGGCTGGGGTTGTGGCTCAGCGGTAGAGCGCTTGCCTAGCACGTGTGAGGCACTGGGTTCGATCCTCAGCACCACATAAAAGCAAGTATAGATATTGTGGCCAGGCGCGGTGGCGCACTCCTGTAATCCCAGCATCTCAGGAGGCTGAGACGGGAGGAGGGCAAGTTCAAAGCCAGCCTCAGCAATGGCAAAGCGCTAAGTAACTCAGTGAGACACCGTCTCTAATAAAACATGAAAATTGGGCTGGGGATGTGGGTCAGTGGTTGAATGCCTAAGTTTAATCCCTGGTACCAAAAAAAAAAAAAAAAAGATACAGTGTCCATCTACAACTAACATAATTAAAAAAAAAAAGATACAGTGTCCATCTACAACTAACATAATTAAAAAAAAAAGATACAGTGTCCATCTACAACTAACATAATTAAAAAAAAAAAGATACAGTGTCCATCTACAACTAACATAATTAAAAAAAAAAGAAAAAGAGGGTTGAGGCTGTAGCTTCATGGTGGAACCCTTGCCTGGCATGTCCAAGGCCCTAGGTTCGAACCCTAACACTATGAAAAATAAAACATCTTTGTGAGGGGTAAAAAAAAAAGGGGGGGGGCTGGGGTTGTGGCTCAGTTGTAGAGTGCTCGTCTAGCACGCACGAGGCACTGGGTTTGATCCTCAGCACCACATAAATGTAAAATAAAGATATTGTGTCCACCTAAAACTAAAAAAAAAAAAAAAAAAAAAAGTTTAAAAAAAAATTAAGAAAAAGAGCAGGCTTTAGAATGTTAAGTCACCATCTTAGGCCAAACCTAACTTCCACCTTATCTATTCTGTGTACAGGGCCCCCTTGAAGGCGTTGCAAAGCTCATGGAGCAGGCTCTGCCAGAGCACAGAGCTGCCTCTGGTTTGGTAGGGGTGTGTGGGGGGTGTGTGTGGGGGTGTCAGGGGCCGGGGAAGCCATGCTGCAAGTTCCCAGGAAGGGTTAGATGTCTTCTGACTGAAAGGTGACCCCCAGCAGAAACCTGGACAGTGCCAATTCCCACCTCCCTGGTGTCCTCCTCCAGGAGGGGACTGGGTACACCTTTGCTCCTTACCCCAAACCCTCGGCTTTTGCCCACCTCACCACCTCCCTCTGCCTACTCTAACCCTTCTGTCCTTTCTCAAGACCAGAAAGCAGAGCAGGAGGGAGGAAGGACTTGGGTTCAGGCTCTACAATCCAGCAACAGCTCCACAGTCCAAGGCACAGTGGCTGGGCTTTGTCCTACAGGTCACAGAGGCTGTGAAATCCCCTGTGGTCAGGCCCTTGTGTCTATTTTATGAAGGAGAACATTGAGGAGAATTGGGGAGGACATCCATTAAAGCCAGGTTAGTGGTAGACACTGGGGTCTTGCCCACTGTCCTCAGGGATCCCCAGCAGGAAGGACACTGGGCACACAGCAAGCATGAAGGACACCTTTATTGGTGGGAGCATTGAAGGATGGCAGCTGGTGTGGTGATACCACAGGCGGCTGCTCTGCCTGCTCTCCTCCTTAATGAGTGCACCTTATCCCCCCACATGGGCACTGGGGTCAGGGGCTCCAGACTCAGACCCTCTGGCCCAGGGAAGGAGCAGGGCCTCCATGCACTGACTTCAGTGTCCCAGGAAGGATCCAGCACTGGGCTACATGTCCACCTCCCAAGCCGACGGCCAAGGCAACAGGGGTGGGGGAGTGACTGGGGAGGAAGGTGGTAGCCTTGGAGGACCTGTGGCTCTCAAGGTAGCAACCTCAGTGGGCAGCACCCCAGCCTGTGTCTGTCCTGGGAGGATCAGCTAAGGCACGGTGGCTGGGCCGTGTCCCGCAGGTCAGAACTCCGCAGGGACCCAACCCTCTGAGGATATGTGGATGAGAGAACATGAAGCTACTTTTTCTGCCGGGCAGGCCGGGAACTGCTGCTGAAGTTGTCGGTGGCTCGGCTGGCCTGTTCAGAGGCAGCTCCAGAGTTCTTCTTGAGGGCTGGCTTGGGCTTCTCCCCTCTGTCTTGGGGGGAGGATCTGAGTGACCGGGATACTAACAGGGCCTGCATGACTCTGACAGCCCCCACGGCCCCTAGGAGCCCCCAGAGCAGGGTGGGAGGCTCTATGGGAGACAGCTGGGTCCGCACCCAGTGGAGGGCCTGAACCAGGGCGCTGCGGGGGTTGCGGGCCCGGGGTGGGCTCTTGTCCTGTGGGAAAAGAATTGAGGAAGACCTCGAGAATTGAGGTTACCTCTGCCACCTCCCTCAGCCTGGTGGACACCCTCCTACCTGAAGCCCAAACTGCCTGAGCAGTGTCTCCAGCGCTGGATCCCCCAGGGACACAGGTGGGAAGAACTCCTCCACCCACTGCCGACGCCACCACCTGCTGCAACAGGAGCATCTTCAGCACACGGCTGGAGCCCAGATCCAGCTCCCGCCCTGGACCACAGCCTCACCTCTGCTCTCCAGGCTGTGAGAACCAGTACTTGTACCGCTGGGCTCGGATGTAGGCGGGTGGCTGCTTGTGAAAGGGGTACCTGGTGATGTTGTTCTGGATCAGGTGGATCACTGTGGTGGGAGAAGGCGCTCAGCACGAGGGCCAGCACCCCCTCCAGTGGCTCCCGCAGCCTGCCCCCTCACCTGGCTCCTTGCCCTGCAGCAGGCGGAGAACCAGGCTGGTGAACCAGGGGCTGTGTGTGTGTGGGCCCAGGGCTGCGAACCACATTTGCCAATCCAGGCGTGGCTGGTGGGGCACCACGACAGGGGGCGGCCGGCTCACATTCCCAGGCTTGTACATGAACTCGATCTCCTGCCAGGTGAGCCCATGGTCAGCTGAGCCAGTGAGACTGGCCCCTAAGTCCCCCAACCTGTGGGAAGCTCACCGTCCAGTGGTGTCCATTGTAACTGCCCTCCAGCACCACCTCAGGGCGCCCACCCAGGCCAGTCATCCGTCGGAAAAGGCCATATGAGTTGGCAAGCTGCAGGTGTCCCACAGCACCGGAGAGGCGGTGAGCTCCAGTCCAGAGGCGCCCGTGGGTCTCAGGTTCCACGTAGGAGTAGGGCACCTGCAGAAAGGTGGGCAAAATGCTCAGGGCTACCCCCAGACCCCCCCAACCCCACTCCCCCATAATGCTGCTCACCAGGCTGATCAAGAACAAGGCCACTGTGGCAGCACCCAAGATGGAAAGCTGGATAGCAGCACGGAGCTTCGGCAGCCACCCCCGCACCTGGGTCCACCTGAGGACAGGGAGCCCAGGTGTATTCAGGCCCGTCCAGGAAGCTCCCCGACTCCCCTACACTCAAGAACCTACCTCCAGAGGGCAGTCAGCAGCTCCCAGGCCAGGGAGGCCACCCCCAGCCACACAGTGGGCAGGGTCACTGTCTTCAGCCACTGGGAGAACTGGTGGAAGGTGAAAGCTACCAAAGAAGGGGAGTGTGAGGAAGGTTGGCCCACGCCCTGCCCCTGGCCCCGCATCTAGCACTCACTGGTTCTGGAGTGGATGGCGTGCTCCTGCCAGTCAACCTCTAGGCCAAAGTAGTGCACAGTGCCATAGGCCAGCAGTCCATAGACGGCCAGTTCCAGCAGCAAGGATAGTGTGGTAAGCAGGGCCTTGGGCCAGGCTGTGGGCAGGACAGTTACAGGTTGGCTGAGTGTTGATAGCAGGGGACTAGGGTGGAGCTAAAGCAGGGGCACTGCATGGGATGCTGGAGGGAAAGACACACTCTGGGAGGACAGTGTGGGTGAGGATGGTGGGCCTCTGAACAGGCTGACACTCACAGGTGGGTGTCTTCTTATAGCGGCCAAGACCAGGCTCAGCAGTCAGGTGCTGGTCATCCAGGAGGGCAGTGGTGAGCACCAGGGTCAGCAGGTTAAAGAAGTTGTAGTTGCCAGTGATGATGATGAGGACTTGTAACAGCACCTAAGAAGGGTCTGCACTCACAGCGGCCCCCTACCCGAAATCTCCAGACCAGCTGCAAGGCTGCCTGTCTCCCAGCACTATCCCAAGAGGGACCCCTGATCAGTACTAAAGAAAGCCATGCTTTGTCTCGTACCCACCTGAGCGTAGAAGGCGGCCAAGCGCAGGCGGCGAATGGGAGCGAAGAACAGAGGGGGCACGGCGATCTCAATGAGGAACGTGGCTACAACGCTGAGCTTGTGCAGCCAGACGGGCAGGTGGTGGGCAAGCCAGGCAGCAGGTGTGGGCAGGCACTGTGTCTCATAGTGGTAGGTGAGGGCTACAGGGACAAGCAGGTGGTCAGGGCTAGAAAGAACCCCAGACCACCCCAGGTTCAGGCCAGGACCCTCACCAGTGAGTCCCCACCACGTGGGGCAGCGGCTGGTCAGCTTGACCACACCCGAGGCAAACATGAGGCGAAACAGCAGCCAGCGCACGAGCCAGAAGGGAAGGCCTTCATGGGGCAAGGCCCCTGTCAGCCCACCCTGGGCCTGCTTACGGTTGGGGAACTGCCTCAGCGGGGCCACCAGCACAGCCAGGAAGCCTGTTTCCAGCAGCAGGGAATCCCTACAGGGAGAGGAAATGGCACCAAGGGTCCCTCCCCTCAAGGGTCTTGGGGAAAGGCAGTCAACTCCTACCCAGCCTCCAGCAGCCCTGCCCAAGAGGCACTCACCACTGGAAATAGAAGAACACCTGGCCCACCTGCAGGGAGAGGGCTGTCAGGGGGCAGATGTGTCTGTCCTCAAGTAGGTAGAGGTGGGAGTGGGAAGGGGATGAAGAGATAAGGGTCCTACTTGCCTGGCAGGCTGACAGGTAAGCAGCCCAGAGCAGCAGATAGACGAGGGGGTGGCGCAGTGGACGCAGAAGCAGGGCACCCAGGGCCAGCACTGTGCCTAACAGGCTCAGCAGTTCTAGGCCCTGGGCTGTGTCCAGCCCCAGCCTTGGTGCCTCCCACAGCAGTGTTGGTGTCTCCCACAGTTGCTGCCAGTGTCCCTTGCCCTGTGGCCGAAGCATCCTCCGAGCAGGCAGAATGCCCTCAGGGCCATAGAGGCCTGTGGGAGGGCAGTTTCAGGGCTACTCATGGGCTACTCACAGCGGCCCCTGCCAAATTTACCTGAACCAGGGTCTGCAGGTATCCCCCATCCCACTGTAGGGTCTGCAGATACCCCCCAGGGTCTACAGATTTCCCCCTCCCTGTAGAAGTGGCCTACAATCCCTCAAGACACCCCCCCCCCCCAGGACAGAACCTGTTGATACCCACCCTGGGTCCAGGAGGACTGCCCGACTCCCAGGGTCAGCATCTTCTGCCCAACAGCTCACGTTTCTCTCCTACCTGCCCCACCAGGTCTGGGCGGAAATCTGTTTCCCACCCTCCCAGGGGTTCTACCCCCACCCCAGGTGAGAACTCGAACTCTGCGGGAAACGAGGCATCGCACATCTTCCTACCGCCACGTCCCCGCGGCTCGCAGGACACGAACCGCGGTCACACACCGCGACATCAAGGCCTAGACTCACTCTCGCCCCAGACCGCACGAATGCGGAGTGGCGGGGTATGCGACCACACAGGGACCCGCGCACAGGTTGGGGGGTGTTGTCCCATCCACGGCGCCCTCACCCGGGATCTGCGTGTAGAGGGAAGCGAAGGCGAACATAAAGACGCCGGCCACACCCTGGAGGAAGAGCTGCCGAGGGAGCCGGGAGCCCGCCATGTCCGCTACGCGACCGGCTGGACAGCTGCCCGCGGTTCCTACGACCCCGCCCCAGGCCCCGCCCAGGCCCCGCCCCATTCCCATGACCCCGCCCCTAAGACCCCGCCCCAGGCCCAACCCCATTCTCGTAGCCCCGCCCCGCGGCCCCGCCCCGCCCCACTAGTCAGCTTCTGCTTCGCGTCCGGCTCCCGGCAGCTGCAAGCCCCGCCCCGAATGGTTCCCAGAGCGCCCCGCCCCTTTTCCAGGGCCCTTTGACTTGGGGTTGGTTCAGAAGTCAGGGACCTGTGCACGTCATAGGTACGCGCGAGGCACTGAGCTTACGTACTTCCTGGGCGGGAACAGCAAAATGGCGCCAGAACCAGTGGCGGGCTGAGGCCGAGAGCGCTGTCTGAAGCCAGCCCTGCGCTCCCCGGCCGCCCGGCCCCTCCCGGACATGGAGGACGTGGAGGCGCGCTTCGCCCACCTCTTGCAGCCCATCCGCGACCTCACCAAGAACTGGGAGGTGGACGTGGCGGCCCAGCTGGGCGAATATCTAGAGGAGGTGAGGCGGCGAGGTGGGCGCGGGCGCGGGCGCGGCGCGCGGGGCCTGCGGCGGCCCAGCTGCCTCTAAGGCTGCGGCCGTCCGGCTCTGCCGCTCGTCCTCGGCCCCCTTCTTTGCCCCAGCTCCAGCTCTTCTTGAAACCATCCCTTACGGGGGAAGCCTGGAGCTGACGTTGCCGTGAGATGGGCTGGTGACCAGCATTTGTCTCCACTGCGGCGTACCGACTAGGAAGCATCGTCGTCTTGGTTCAGCTATTGTGTGCATGTGTGTGTTGAGGGATCTGGATCGCTATGTAGGAGGGTTTTTTCCCTTTTTTTTTTTTTTGAGGCACTGGGGATCGAACCGAGGGCCTCACACATGCTAGGCAAGCACTTCTGCCACTGAGCTACGTGCTGCGAGAGGGATTTCTTGTTTTGGACGTTCAAACCTGTTGCAAGCTAGCATGCTGTTCTATCCTATCAGCAATGAATTCCTTCCATATTTGACAACTGTGTCTAAACCTCTCTTAAGAGCTGTCGTCTAGTGTTGCACTTTTCTTTTACTCCGCGTCCACTACAGTGTTACTTACAAATTTCTTGTTTTCATCAGTAGTGACCTCCATCCTACTAAATTCAAAGGATACTAGATGTGTCAGTTTATTCAGCTCGCCAGCATTTGTTGGGTTGACCACTCCTTCCTTCTCGAAATAGTGGTGCCATGATTTTCTTCCTATTTCTCTGCCTATTTTTTTGTCTTCTATCCTAAGTTTTGAGCTCCTCAGGGTGGAGCCCTCTTTCCCTTAAACAGTCTCTCTCACTGTTTTCTGTGATGTTTTTTTCCGTATAGGTGACTTATGAGGACATCTCCCAGATTTATGGCTTGGTCCCAGATCTTTTATTTATTTATTTTTTTGGTGATGGGGGATTGAACCCAGGGTTGCTTAACCACTGAGCCACATCCCCAGCCCTTTTTGTGTGTTTTATTTTGAGACAGGGTCTCATTAAGTCCTTAGGACCATGCTAAGTTGCTAAGGCTGGCCTGGAACTTGCAATTGTCTTGCCTCAGCCTACCCAGTTGCTGGGATTACAGGTGTAGGCCACCATTCCTGGCCAACACACACACAATCTCTCTCTCTCTCTCTCTCTCTCTCTCTCTCTCTGTATCTAGCTGCTCTCTTGACACCCACTAGGATGTGAGCATCTCAGTTTTAACTTATTTAAAGTGGAGTGCTTCATTTTTTCATTTTCCAATCTGGATTCTCTATCTCCATGTTTGGCCCCATCCAGTCCATTCTCCACCCAGAAGCAGGTGTGACTCAAAAATTAAAAATCATGCCAAAGCACTGCTCAGCCTAAAACCCTTCAGTGGCTTTCCATTGCACTTAGAGTAAATCCAAATTTCCTCTTCTGAGTCTGGCTGTGCTCACTGTTTTAGCCTCATCTCAAGCTGTTCTCTGCCTTGTTCAGTTGAACCAAGTCAGCCTGTTTCCCCATGCTCATTCTTCGCTGGGGTCCGTATACTTTGTTTGCACTGGAAAATATTCTTTTATGATAAAGTCCTTTTCGTCCTTTATATTTTAGCTTAAATATCAGCTGGTCACTGTATACGTGACTAAAATAGTTCCAACTCTTGTCATAGTACTTGTGTACTTTGGAATGTTTATCACATTTCCTACTTATCTAGTTGTTTTGGCCTCTCTCAACCTAGTGTTAAATTCTGCAAGGGCAGGGATTATGTATATACTCTCTTCTGCTTAGTAGAGTGCTTGGCATATAGTAGGTGTGGAATAAATGTTTATTAAGTGAACCTGTGATCTGATGATTGACCGTCTCTGCTTCAATGCAGTCTGCTAAGAAAATTCAGAGAACTGTGCCTGGTGGATTTAGGTTTCCACATCAAGCAGGGTCCTTGGGGATACTTGATAAGAATATTTCCTGGCTTGTTCACCTTCCCTCCTGCTTCATGACTGCTCTGCCAGACCCTCTCTGTCCTGGAGGGCCTGATTTCCTGACCTCTGGTTTCCTCAGAGTGCTGCTTTTGTTTTCCATATAATTATCAGATTTTTTTTCATAACACATTATGATGTTATATTCTCTTATCTACTTATGTATTTATTGTTGCTGAATGTCCATTGTGTGACAAGAACCAAAACTCTGCAAAAATAATGGTGAGCAAAGCAAACAATCTGTGCTTTGGTAGGCCTTGTACTTTGACAGATGGCTGGGACGTAAGGCAGTAGCAACACAGAGTCATAAATATCATACACTTGGTGCATACTTGGGTCAAGCACTGTTGTTGTTTCACACAGATAAATTCACATAATCCTTACAAAAACTACTCATGCAGGCACTAGAGAGAGAAGTTGTGTGCCCAAAGTCACAGGTGATAGTGGACAGAGCACAATCACTTCCCACTGCAACCTGGGTAGTCTACAAAGTGATGCCAGCTTTGAAAGAAGGGTTTAGGGTTCTGGGAAGGGTGTGATGGAAACCTAATTGTGTTTGGGTTAAAGGAGTTGCTTCCTCATGGTGAGCTGAAGAATGTTCCATGCAGAGGGACACAGTGTTTGAAAGTTGAGGTGGGAAGATGATTGGCTCAGTGGAGGTCCTGAAAGTGGGCCCATGTGCTGTTGTGGGCCAGCAGGGAAGGACCAGGGCCTGGAGAGGGAAATGGCAAGCAAGGGAGCCTGCCTTAGGGGCTCTGGTTAGGATTGGGGGCTTTTTCGTAAGAGTAGCACAAAGCCATTAGGGTTGTGTGGTGGAGTGATGAGAGTAAATGCAGGGATGTGAGAGGTGGGAGGAGTCCTGTCAGTGCAGAGGTTGAAGCTAGGCCTGGGCAACAGCTGATTGGAGGGCAGCCTGGATTTGGCAGGGACGTGGGCAGGGGAAGAAAGCTGCTGAGACCCTGAGTTTCTGGGTGGTGAGTTGGGTGCTGCCTAGAATTCAGTGTGGGCATGTTTATTGTGAATCTGGTTAAAACATCTGAATGATTGAAGAAAGCAATTGGATGTACGGGTTTAGGTGAGAAATCCAACCTGGAGTCATGAGAAGATTGTTGGAGTGTGATATCCCTGTAGCAAGTGAGCTGGCTGGGCTGGGGGGTCTTCAAAGGGAAGGGCCCTAGCTTGGGCCTCCTGTACATCCTTTCTTCAGGGCAGGGCACTCTGCAGCTCTCACACTTCTGTAGACTGGTGCTCCTGCACCCCACCCCCCAAATTTCTTTTATCCTTCAGGAATTAGCTCCCCTTGGTGACGCCCTCGCAGATCATTCCCCTTCCTTGTGCAGCACAGTGCCCAGCGTCTTAGCTCTCTTGCCAGCGCAGCCTACACTTTGGCCATGTTTGTGTGATGTGCATTTTTCTGAACAGTTGTAGCCTGTCTCTGCTGACTGCCTTTTCATAGGCAGGGGATTGCTCTTTCTGAAGTCCTATGCTTTCACCTGCCTGGTGAGTTTGTATCTGTTTTTTCAGGCTTAGCTCTGATATTACCACTTCTTTAGTTCATCAGATATTTACTTGGCATCAGCATTGGGCACTAAATGGAAGGCTGAAATTACCTGATGCTGTCCACAGTTCACTAAGGAAGAAGAGACTTGAAAGTAGTGCAAAAAGATAACACTGACAGGGCCAGCCATGGTGACTCCCACCTGCACTCCCTTCTGCTCAGGAGCTGAGGCAGGAGGATTGCAAGTTCAAGGCCAGCTTGGGCAACTTAGTGACTGTCTCAAAATAAAAAATAAAATGGGCTCAGTGGTAGAGTGCATCTGGGTTCAATCCCCAGTACCACACACCAACAAATCACTGATGATGGGTGGCAAGGAGGCCCCTGCAGGGGAGTTTACACTGGGACATTTAGAGCCAGGCATTCCTGGCAGAAGGAAAAGCAAAATCAGAGGGCAGGAATAGGAAGGGGCTTTGAGTGTTGGTGGGAGCAGTGTGGTAGAGGAGCCTGCTTCGTGGGGAAGATCCTGAGTTAAATGTGGGGGGCACTGAGGTGCAGCTCAGTGGTAGAGTCTGGCATGTGTGAGGCCCTGGTCCAATCTCTAATACCTCAAAAAACATTCTGGGGGGTGCTTAGTACCTCTGTTAATGAGGCCAAGTTCTTGAAGAAAGCTGGTCTAGAGATGGGCGGGGAACTGTTGACACATGGATGGTAGCCATGTGTCAGCATGAGTAGCCGCATGGTAGCATGGGGTGGACAAACAGGTGCATTGGCAGGTGTGCCATGGGAGGAGAGGGCTGAGGATGGAGCCCCTTGGACTGTGGTGTTTAGAGGGATGCAGGAGCTGAGGCTCAGGGGACTCGGGGAGTTGCAAAAGAAAGAGAATGCCTCACTGGACCTATTTGTCAAGGGCTCTGCTCAGAGGATGGAGACCCTAACATTTGTTTCTGTTGCGTTCATCCTGAGGTTCTTTTCCTTCCCTCAGGGTAAGGAGTCTTCCTGCTGAGGGCCATCTGAGTTGGCCCTGATGCTCGTGGGCATGTTGTCTGAGGGAACTGCTGTGGTCAGGGCGGTCTCTGGGGGCCTCCCTCCCACAAAACACCAGGTCTTAGAGGATGCAGGAAATAGGGAATCACAAGACATGTGTCTCCTCTCTGGGAACACCCCGAGACAGCTGACGGGATCAGAGCAGAGCTGGAGCTGTCGGGCTGTGGCCGGTGGTGGGTAGGGCTTCCCTGGGCAGAGTGGGCACAGACTGGGCCTGGCTTCCTTGGCACTGGTGTTGTCTCTTGCAGTTGGACCAGATCTGTATTTCTTTTGACGAAGGCAAAACCACAATGAACTTCATCGAGGCTGCACTGCTGATCCAGGGCTCAGCCTGTGTCTACAGCAAGAAGGTGGGCCCTGCGGGGTTCCTTGGTGGCAAGTGTCCGCTGGTCAGCTTTCTTGCTGGGGCAGGGAACAGTGCTCATCCTGTCTGTGACCTGCCCTGATAGCACCAGAGGCCTCACCCCTGACTCATTCACATATTTTAATACCAAAGGATGATCTTGGGTTTAAAATGGTACATGGGACCTGAGGGTGTAGCTCAGGGTAGAGTGCTTGCTAAACATGCATGAAGCCCCGGGTTCAGTCTCTAGCAAAAGATAAACAAACTGTCACTGCCAGAAAGAGAGGGTGGCGTGCGCTGTGGGTTCTGTCATCCCTTGTGCACACTTGCAGCAGCACAGAGGTGGCGAGGGTACGCATGCACTCTGCTTCCCCTGCCTCTCACCTGAAAGTGCTTCATCAGCAGCATTTTGAAAAACTCCAGCCCTCACCCTAGTGGTAAGAGCGTTCTGTGGAGGAGACAGGCAAGAAGCTAGGGGAATGATCTGTCAGGTGGCCCACTGTGGCTTGATTTCTGATGGGCTGTCAGAGGCCCACAGGCTTCTAGGATGGAGGAGCTGGCAGGAGCCTGTGGGCAAAAGAGTAGCAGGTGCCTGTGCGAGGGGCCTGATTTGTGGGGCCTGCCCACCAGGGCTGTGTGGGGCACCCCTCGGGATGTAGTGGTGCCACGCATTGAGGCCATGCTTGCTGCTTGATGGAAAACGGAGACAGGAGAGAAGCACGCAGCCTTGGGGTAATGCTGGTAAGACTACTAGTTTGACGTGAGAATTATTTTTGGTGGCAAAATTGGCAGGACTCATGCTGGAGGCTTGGAGATGATGGCCAGGCCTTGGAGTGGGAGGGCCGTGGGCTGTTGTGGGTGGTGCCTCCTTCACTTGTCCTTACTGCTGGCTTCTGGCTGCCAGGTGGAGTACCTCTACTCGCTGGTCTACCAGGCTCTCGATTTCATCTCTGGCAAGAGGTGAGTGGTAGAGGTGGAGTCGGGAGGCAGGGGCCAGCACTTCCACACTGCGGGTGCAGCTCAAGGCCCTGTGGCCCCCAGGACACCCATGAGGTGCTCTTCTCTCCCAGGCGAGCCAAGCAGCTCTCCTCAGCACAGGAAGATGGGGCCAATGGGACCGCCAGCTTGGAGGCCCCCCAGGAGGCAGAGGATGAGGTAAGTGGAATTGGTGACCCCTGCCCTGTGGCGTCTGAGCTGCACTCTATGCACTCCTGCTGTCTCCACAGTTCCTATCGCTGGACGACTTCCCTGACTCCCGTGCTAATGTAGATCTGAAGAACGACCAGGTGCCCAGTGTGAGTGCCTTGCTCTCTGGGTGGGGTGGGGGTTTATCTGGAATGCTCTGTGTGGGTCCTTGCCTAAGAGCTCAAGGCATTCAGGGCCCACACTTGATGCTGGCCTTCATGCAGGAGCTTCTTATTGTCCCTCTCTTGCCCATGGCCCTGGTGGCCCCTGATGAAGTGGAGAAGAACAGCAGCCCTCTGTACAGGTATGGGCCTGAGCCCAGCTTGGGGAGGGGGAGAGGCCTACCCAAGAAAGGCCTCTTCAGTGAGTGTGTTTTTGCCAACACAGCCACCAGGGTGAGGTCCTGGCTAGCCGGAAGGATTTCAGGATGAACACGTGCACCCCTCACCCCAAAGGGGCCTTCATGCTAGAGCCAGTGGGCATGTGCCCCATAGAGCCTGTGGGCACGTGCACCATACCAAGAAACCAGAAGGGTAAGGGCTTGGGTGTTGGGCACTTGGTAGGAGGGAAGGAAGGGTCTTTCAGGGACTCCTGTTGGTTCCCCTGTGCCCACCAGTTCTGTTCTTGGGAGCTGCCTCCTCCCAGGCTCCTGCTCCACTGGGTGGCTTGGCTGAAGCTCATCCATTTCTCCCACCTTCACTGTGCCTCAGTGGCCAGCCAGTGAGGGACCAGCTAGTTTCAGTACTGGGATATGACACCCACTCCTCTCTCCAGCCTGAGGCCTGGGGCCTGCTGGGCTCTGCCTGCTGCTGCCCCTGTAGAGGGGCTCATTGGGCATCAGGTAGGGACCTTATGAGGCGGAACATAGGGGGTGCTGACCTCTGTCTCACCCCTGCCTCCCAGATGCCAGGAGGGCCGAGGAGCAGCCAATGGACGTCTCTGGGTGCCGGAATTCTGTCACTGTGCTTGACTTCTCCCAGCAGCCAGGTGAGAGCAGATCTCTGGTGGACTGACAGGGCTGAGGAAGGGACCCAGGAGGCAGAGATGTGGACAGGACTCCAGATGGGCTGCTCTCAGCTTCCCCAGCTTGCCGTGCCTGTCCCTGGCTCAGCAGCTTGTGAGGGGTGAGGTGTAAGGGGAGCAGGCACAGCCTTGGAGAGCTCAAGAGCCCCCGGCCTCATGGAGCCTCAGCAACTGGCCTTGGACTGCCTTCCTGGCCTTCTCTGGACAGACATAGGTGGCAGCACATAGAGAGGAAGGTTTGCCAAGAAGATGAACTGATGGGTGTGGTGGCCATGCCTATAATCCCAGCTACTCAGGAGAGTGAGGCAGGAGGGTTGTAAGTTCAAAGCCAGCCTGACCCTGGGTTTAATCTCCAGAACCACAAAAAAGAAATGAGCCAAACAAAGACACTAGTGTGACAGAGTGTAAGGCCTGCCCAATCCTCCATGTGCAGCAGATACTTCATGTGCAGGGAGTGACGCTGAGCAGAGGGAGTGTCCTGTTAGGTTTACCTGGGCTTCCACCAAGGGCAGCCCTGTCTGCTCTCTGGGCTCCGGGATCCCCTGGGGCTGACAGATTTCTTGCTGCCTGCCCAGGCACCGCTCCAGAAGGCCTAGCGCCCAGCAGTGGAGGTGAGGAGGAGGAGGAGGAGGTGGCGGAGGCGGCGGCGGTGGTGGTTGACACAGTAGAACTCCCAGAGGCCAGAGCCCCCAAGGCCACAGTGGAGCCTGAGGAGCCCAGGAGCCCCCACCAGGTAGGGCCCCTGAGGCAACTGAGTTGAGCTGCCCACTGGCCAGCCCTGACCCTGGGGCAGTAACCCTCACACAGGGAGCACAGCACAATATGGTGGTTCCCATATTGGTCTTTTGGTCTTTCCCTGCTGTCTGCTTTGGATACATCTGGCCAGTTAGGGACTCGCCTAGGAGCTTTCCTGTCTTTGACTCACCCCGCAGCTAGCCTTTTCATGGCAGCTTCTGTGTCCTTCTCCTCTGAGTGGAGCAGCTGCTGCTCCTCAGGGGTGGGCTGCTAGTCAGTGGTCTGAACCCCATGGAGCTCACAGTACCTGAGGTCAGGCTGGCCAGAGGGAATGGTTCCAGAGGCCTCTGCTGCCTCCCTCAATTCCCGTGGGGTGAATCTGTCCCCTTCTAAAGAAGGATTTCTTTTCTTTTTATCTCTAAATTAAAACAACAACAAAACAGTGTGCTGTGTGGCTCCAGGAAAGCACTTGCTGAGCATCCCTGGGGCCCTGGGTTTAGTCCCCAGCATCACAAATCAGTCCAGCAATAAAAAGCTCAAACCAGGCACTGGGATTGTGGCTCAGAGGCAGAGCACTTTCCTCGCACGGATGAGGCACTGGGTTCAATCTTCAGCACCACATAAAAATAACTGAATAAAATAAAGCTTTTGTCCATCTACAACTAAAAAAAAAAAAAAGCTTCAACCAACTCGACATAGATGGGAGGGAATGTTAACATGGATGTTTGTCATATTCCATATTTTGTTTTATATTTTGAAAAAAGAAAAGTTCTTCTGTGATGGCTAGTTGGGATGTTCTAGAGTTTTTCTTAGGGTTGTTTTTAGTCCTTGAACGATGGGACCCGAAGAGGGTCCCTGCTGAGTTCTTGTCATGGACCCCAGGGCAGAGCTGCTGGGGCACCCAGCATCTTGTATGGACAGGTGCAGGTCAGGGCACCTGTGGGCTCCTTCTTTGCAGAGTGCCGTCCTGACCAGGAGGTACATGTTGCGGGAGCGGGAGCGAGCCCCGGACCCCATGTCCCGGCTAAAGGTGAGGGGCAGGGAGTGAGCCGCAGGACTCCCTGTCACGCCTCCAGTCCCGTGGCCCTTCAATTCCCTTCCTGGCTTTACTCTTGAGGAATTGGCTGGCTTCCAGAAATTGACGTCCCCCTTCCCGCAGGCTGGGCCCCTTCCCCTGCCTCAGGTGTCATACTCTGACCCTGGGTTGAGCGGGCAGCCTCTCCCTGGGCTGTCATGCACTTGGTGTTGGGCTTGGGAAGAAGGGTGTTCGGCCCTAACCGCCCCCAGCATCTGCTTGTGCTCTGTGCTCAGGAGACCCCAGACCCTTGGCAGAGCCTAGACCCCTTTGACTCCTTGGACTCCAAGCCCTTTAAGAAAGGTAACTGGGTGGGGGACACCTCCACTCAGGCTCTTTTTCCCCAGCGTGCTGGGGTCTGGGGTAGTAGGGTGGGGGTGGGCTTTGGACCCCAGTCCCATGGCTGCTCTTGAGACAGCCCCAGCCTGACCCCAGGCAGGCCGTACTCTGTGCCCCCTTGTGTGGAGGAGGCTCCAGGACAGAAGCGCAAGAGGAAAGCCACTGCCAAGCTACAGGACTTCCACCAGTGGTACCTGGCCACCTGTGAGTACATGGTGGGCTGGGTGGGACACCTTGTCCCTGGGTGCTGGGGCCAGGTCAGGGCTGGTGGAGGAAGGGGGACCAGCAATCTTTTCCTAATGCTGTTGGCAGTCCCTAACTGATGGGGAGGTCCAGGCTTTGGCCTGGTTCTTGCCGACCAAGTTTCCTCACAGATGCTGACCACGCTGACAGCAGGAGGCCCCGGAGAAAAGGCCCAACTTTTGCAGGTGAGGCAAGGCCCCATGTGCAACCTTACTGTGCCTTCTACCTGAACAGGGTCACCCAAGGCCCTGGGTGGACTGGAATGAGCCTGGACAGGAGAGGTGAGCCCCTCACAAAGCTTTTATCTGTAGACATGGAGGTTCTGTACTGGAAGCATGTGAAGGAGCAGCTGGAGACCCTCCGGACATTGCAGAGGCGGGAGGTGAGTACCTGTGTGGCTGAGGGGGCCCCTGATGGAAGAGGACAGTGTCCTCACAGATGCTCTCTCTGAACAGATAACTGAGCGGTGGCTGCCTAGGGCTGAAGAGGGCCTGTGGCCTGCAGAGGATGACCACCTAGAGGATGACCGCCTGGAGGAGTCCTTGGAAGACCTGGGGGCAACAGGTGGGTGCTTGCTGGCTCTGGGGTGGGGCTCATCAGTAGAACCAGCTGACTTCCTGCCTGTGGTTGTCTCTCCTGTGTCCCAGCAGACGACTTTCTGGAACCTGAAGGGTATGTGGAGCCCGAGGAGGCAAAGCCTGGCGAGGCTGCTGACCTGGGTATGTCTGAGGGAACGGGAGCTGCTGGAGGGGAGGGCGTGGCAGCACCACAGCTGCAGCAACTCACAGACGGTCCTTCTCAGAGGCAGAGGCCATGCCAGAGTCCCTGAGCTACGAGGAGCTGGTTCGAAGGAATGTGGTAGGCTTGGGTCAGAGGCAGGGAGTCGGGTGAGGAAGCCTCAGGTCCCTGCACACAAGATGGAAGTCCCTACGGTCCCCCCCAGGAGCTCTTCATCGCCAACTCCCAGAAGTTTGTCCAGGAGACAGAGCTGAGCCAGCGCATCAGGGACTGGGAAGACACCATCCAACCCCTGCTCCTGGAGCAGGTGAGGCAGTTCTTGAGGACCGGAGCTTCCTGCCTGAGCTTTGCCCACGCTGTCCTTCTCTGTCACCAACACGCCCCTCCCCCATGCAGGAGCAGCATGTGCCCTTTGATATCCACACGTACGGGGACCAGGTGATCTCACGATTCCCCCAGCTCAACAAGTGGTGTCCCTTTGCGGAGCTGGTGGCAGGCCAGCCTGCCTTTGAGGTGTGTCGCTCCATGCTGGCCTCCCTGCAGCTGGTGAGTGCCTCGGGTCTCATGGGTGGGGAAGATGGTCCCCAAACCTTGCTGATGGCTTGCCCCTGCAGGCCAATGACTACACGGTGGAGATCAGCCAACAGCCAGGGCTGGAAGCAGCTGTGGACACCATGTCTCTGAGACTGCTCACTCACCAGCGAGCCCACAAGCGCTTTCAGACCTACATGGCTCCCTCCATGGCCCAGCCCTAAGCAGAAGGTGTGATGGGAGGGTGGGCCAGTTCTCGCTGTGTGCTGAGAGCTTGCTTCTGCCTCCTGGCTGGCCCAGCCTAATAAAAGTTGTGTTGCCATCTCACCTACCCTTAAAACAAAACCCACTGAAATTATCTACTGTGTAGAGCTGCCTGCCTTCCTGTGGACTGCTGGCACAGATCACACACACACAACTGAGAAGTGTGGTTTAATGATGGCCCCAGGCTGCAGTGGTTCAGAGGACACTGCGAAAGCCAGCCATGTGCCGCTGCACACTGTCTGCAATCTGCTCCGCGGACCTGCCCCTACCATAGTAGTCCGTGAAGAGGCCATCAGGGTTTAGCAAGTAGATAGCAATGGAGTGGTCGACAATGTAGTCCTGGTCCTCATCCTTGGGGCCAGCACTGTAGTACACACGGTAGCTGCGGCTAGCCTGGGCCACCTGCTCAACAGAGCCCGTTAGACCCAGCAGTCTTGGGTGGAAGTCTCGCACATATCGGGCCATAGCTGCCACATCATCCCGCTCAGGGTCCACAGTAATGAAGATGGGCTGCACAGGGGGCAGTCCAGGCTTGGCTTCCAGCTGTTGTACCACCTGTACCAGCTTCTCCAGCTCGTCTGGGCAGATGTCTGGGCAGTGTGTGAAGCCAAAGTACATCAGTACCCACTGGCCCCGGAAGTCGGCCTTGCAGCGAGCCTGGCCTTGGTGGTCCAATAGGCTGAAGTCGCCCTGACCCACAGCAGCCTGGCGCAGGGCTTCCGTCCGCTGTTGCTGCCGCCGCTGTTCCTTCTCAGCCCTGGCAGCCAGCCAGGCCCCACCCAGCCCAGCTCCAAATAGGGCAGTGATGAGCAGCCTGGTTCGAAGCCTAGGGCCTTGAGGTGGGCCCTGCCACGAGAAGTGCCGGGGCCTCATGTGCAGGGCTTCATTTCCAGGGGTCATAGAGGGTACTGGTGGCCTAAGCTGACAAAGCCAAAGCCAAGCCTTGGCCTTGGGCCCCCGAGCCAGCAACAGCATGGACCTGATCCTCCTGAAAGAAAGCAAAGATGTCAGGCCCCAGAAAGAGGGCACCAAAAGGTGCCTGGGGTCCCATCCCTGGAGACCTGCCTCCTACTCTGGCTTGCCAGCCTCCTGCACCTGCTCGCTGAAGCTCCAAACTTGTCCACCTTTGAAACCTCAAGCTCCAGCTTAAGTGGCACCAAAGTCCACATATGGCCAGTTTCACAACAGTCCCTCCTGTCCCTTCAGCCTAGTAGCCTTGATCTCGTTACCTCACCCTGCCCTGTACCTGCCCCTGCAAAGCCCAGCCCAGCATTCACTTCTGTGAGCCTCTTGTCCTGCTTAACAAGGGCACTGCAAGCAAATATATCTGAAATAAATCTACTTCTTGACGGAAGTAGCCCTCTCCAGCCGGTCACCTCAAGGGCTACTTCAACGGTGGCTCTCCGGTCTCCTCCCAGGCTCAGCAGAAAACCTGCACTGCCAGACTTAACCTCAGCTGGCAGACGACGTATGCGCTCTCCTGGAGGTCCCACACGCACCTCCCTGCTACCCCTACAGTCCTTGCCTGGCGAAGGTTGGGCCCCCACACCCAAACGGGTGGCTGCAGGGATAGAGCACGGAGCTTGCCCTCCAGAAAATCCCCAAGGATATGAGACGGTGCCTGGGGCCACCTCGGTCCTAGTGTCCCCAGGTTCGGCCCCTCGGGAAGGCGGCCGGAAAGCCCTGGAAAAACAGCGCAGGTACAGCCGGGACCCCCACTACTCCGATGCCGGAACCGCGCCCGGGGCACCAACCCCAGGGCACCAACCCCGGAAGCAGCGCCGTCCCGGCTCGCCACCACGGCGCATGCTTCGAGGTCACGTGCGGCGCGGCCCGCCCCGCCCCTGCACGTACTTGGCTCGGAGGCCGTCGGGCTTCAAGGCTGCGCGGCGGTGGGCGGCAGGATCAGCTCCGCAAAGGGCGAGGGGGCCGTGAAGGGCGCGCGATCAGACAGCACAAGCGCTGCCTGCAGTGCTCGGCGCTGCGAATCGCTTAGCGCAGGGCCGTCCAGATGCACGCGGAGCCAGGGCGTCCCTGCCAGGCGAGGACGGTCAGGACTTCCGGGGCGGGAGGACGCACCCGGAAGGGGCGGGGAAGACGACGTGGCCTGGAGTCCTGGGTGGTACTCACCTCGGCTTAGGCTTTGACCCACGTCCACCAACAGCTCGGCGCCCACGCCCAGGCGGATTGGCTCCCCTGCACGGCTGCGTCCGGCCCCGAGCTCGTGCAGCACGAGCGCTAGTGGCAGCGCTTGGACGCTCTCCACGGTGCCTGCGGGAAGAGAGTGAAAGCGTCTGGCAGCCTCAGGAGGGACCCGGGTTGGGAGCGGGTTGGGGGCCCGGGTCCCTGGCGCTCACCGTCCGCAGGCGCGTGTAACTCCTCTTGCTCCCGGGCGTGGGGCAGCAACTGACGACGCTGCGCCGGGGTCCCGGAGCACAGTGATCGGGCCAGGTTCGAATCCACGCCCTGTGCTTCAAGCATCTGCTCGAAGCGGCGCCGCGCGGAGCCGTCGTCCAGTGCCGTAGCGATCCGGGCGGTGCCCTGGGCCGAGCTACCCGCATGTCCACTGAGCCATAATAGGACACCCCCTGCCAGTCGGCAGGGCGAGTTTTAGGTGCCGTGGGGCCTGGGCGTCCGGTAGGGCGGCTCTGCAGTCCCCAACCTCAACCGCTTCCCTTACCGAGTCTAGTGACCAGGTCCCGCAGGTCCGGTGGCCCCGTGCCATCCAGGCAGAGCAGCGCTTCCTCCACTTCCAGGGTATGGCCCACGTTGCGACCCAGAGGGTTATCCATGGCTGTCAGGGCTGCTGCCACCCGAAGCCCCAGATCCGCCCCCACGCCAACCTGCAGAGCCTTGGCTCAGTGTGGACTCTACTTGGCACCCCGTGGGGCCTCCACCCCAATCTTGCATCATCAAATTCCAGCTCCGGAAGTACCCTGGGTGGCCAGACCCTCAGAACGAGGTCGGAGAGGGCTTGGGGGTGGGGACCAGAAGCACTATGCCAGTCCGCAACTGTGGGTGTCGGAAGCATTTTGAGTCTGGCGTGGGGTGGAGGGGCAACCTGGAGATTTTCTAAAGGCATAAGACTAAGCCTCGGTCAGTGAAGGCTGATGGCGGGTGAAGGAGGGAGGGGTGGACTGCTAAGTGGGCAGAGGCGAGTGAGGGTGTAAGGAGGTGGGGCCCACCGGGGCAGGGGCTTCTCTGAGTTTACACTGGCCCAGCATGTGCAGGGGCTCACCAGTGCTCTTGCCAATTCCCGAGCTTTCTCCTGGTCTGGGAAGACTGCAGCGCCACCAAACTTAACGTCTATCACCAGGGCAGAGAGCCCTTCCACCGCCTTTTTACTGAGGATGGAGGCTGTTGTGGGAGGCAGAGATATCACTCCATGTGACGCTGACTCTGGGGTGAGGAGGGGCTGGCCCCTAGGATGGGGTGGCAATGCCTAGTGCGTTAAGCATCAGGTCACCCTCATGAATCTGTGGTCAGGTATTCTCACTAGGGTCCTTCTAATAAGAGGACCTTGACTGTGAGGTCAGAGATAGGGGTCATAACCCCCATAGGCAGAGAGCTGTCCCTGGAGTTGAGTCAGGTCACCTGTGATGAGTGGCAGGCTATCCACAGTGGCTGTCACATCTCGTACAGCATACAGGATTCCATCTGCAGGAACCAGCTCCTTGCTTTGACCCACAATACAGCAGCCCACTTGCTCCAACAGCACTTGCATCTAGTCAAGACACCCCGCCCCCCCAGTGGCCTCTGATGAAGGATCCTACTGGCCCTGTTCAGTGACAGTGACCTATGGATGACTCTAGATTCTCAGCAGTGGCTCTGCTCTGTGACCTGACAAAGATGATCAGTGTATAGCTGTAAATTAGTAGTCCATCAGTGATTTTTTTTTTTTTTAAACCAAGGCACTGGACCACTGAGCCACATCCCCAGCCTTTTGTATTTTATTTAGCGACAGGGTCTCAGTGAGTTGCTAATGCCTCACTCTTGCTGAGGCTGGCTTTGAACTAGCCATCCTCCTATCTCTCCCCAGCCGCATGCGCCACCATGCCCGGCCCCACCAGTGGTTTTGACCAAGTCCCCAGTGATGATCCTGATCAAAGTTCCCTCCACCCTGACCCATGCCCAATGACTATCAGTGACCTTTGAATACTCAGTATTCCCATTAACGACTCTGATAAATAACCCTTCCATGATTATGGCTAAGATCTCCATCAATCCAGATAAAAAGTCAGTGGCCTGCCTGTACCTGTTGTGGGCTCTGGATGACATTGAACCCAGGAATAGACTCCAGCTTGTCCAGGGTGCCCCCTGTGTGCCCCAGGCCACGTCCACTGATCATTGGCACCTGGCAGGCAAGGATATTGGCTGAGTTCACCTGCACGGTCCCCCTCACCACTCACTCAAAAGTGTTTCCTCACCTTCCCTAGATAGACTTTAGCTGGAATTAACCCAGCTGAGAATGGAGAATAACTGTCCTGGCCAGGAGGGGGAGTACAGATGTCAGTGAGGGAGAAGGTGGTTACCATCCCTGGAGATAAGTCTGGGCACAGAGAGAAAGTAGTAGCTAGCTCTTTCTTTCAGGACCCTCTCCCTACAGGGAAGCAGGGGCTGTTTTCTGTTGCTGTGGCTTAAGGCGGACCCCAGTTCCATACTGAGGGCTGGCAGGGACAAGCCTGGGTTCTGTCTTCAGACCAGAGTTGGGAAGTGAGGGTGGCCCGGTTGCTGACTGAGTCAAGGTTTTGGAGAGGAAGTAGTCTCTAACCTTGCAGCCACACGCAGCCAGGGCAGGTGCCAGGATCAGGCTGACCTTGTCTCCCACTCCCCCTGTGGAATGTTTGTCTACAAGCTGCTGGTGCCAGGCCTCTGGCCACTGCAGCTGTTCCCCAGACCTGGCCATTGCCTGGGTCAACGCAGAGGTCTCCTCCAGATCCATGCCTTGCAGCCGGATGGCCATCAGCATGGCCCCTGGATGTGAACATAGAGGGGATGTCCCCACAGCATCGTATTTTGGCATCAGTGATGGGGTGCTGTGGCATGGGGACAGGCAGTCTATGGGGTTGTGGGGGCCAGAGTTTAAGTGGGAACTGGGGTGTTTGGCTCTCCCGACATACCAATCTGTGCCCCCTGTGCACTCCCCTCCACCACAGCACTGATGAAGCCCTTGATGTCCTCCTCACTTAAGCGGCCTCCATCTCGCTTCCTGCGGATCAGCACTGGGAGCTGCTTGGCCCCTGGCATTGAGTCAGGAGGTACCCCCCGTCCTCCCAGCAAACCATCACCTGGTGCGATTGGGGTTGGTGGGGCTGGAGTTCCTGGGGCTGCCATTGCTCTGGGCCTGCGGGGAAGCCAGACACATATATCGCCCAGGACAACGCCCTCCCTCCCCACCCCTCCATCCATGTCCCTGCCACCCCCTGCCCTTGACCCGACTCGGCTCCTGTGTGTGTCTCTGGTGTCCACCCTTGGGTTCCATGACTGTGTCGCTCCTTCGGTGTCTGACTTCCACTTTTCGCTCTCACAACGTGACCCTGGCCCATACCTATTCCGTACTGCGGCCCTCGCCCGTCCTGTTCCGGAGTCTGGTCGGGTTCCACCCCACGTCACCCTTGGCCACGGGGTCGAGACTGCAGGTGCCGTGCACACCTGGCCACTGGCCACCAGCAGGGGCAGGTGGGCAATAACCCAGAGCGGCCCAAGGACCGCAGGCACAGCTTGTAGGATCTGGCCAGTAGCCTTGCTCGCAGCCTGCGGCCAGTCCGCGAATTGCCTGACGAATGCAGGGCTTCCGGGACCTCGAGGCTCGGTTTCTGTCGGGCTCCGCCCAGTTCCCGGCACTGTGCGGCGGGGACACCCCTCTCCAGCTCTCCAACAGACTTCGACGCTCCCGCCCTGACCCCGCCCGTGCACAAAGAGAGAGGCGGACACGTGGCTGATTCCGGAAGCTTTAAGCGCACTGCGGTGGGCCTGTGCCCCCACCCCGCCCGCAGGTCAGTCGTCCACGTTGGTCACCATTGGGGCCAGGTAGTCCGAATGCCGGATCCCGAAGGTCCAGCCGCGAGGCTTCCGGTGCTGCGGGCCAGAAGACGTCGCTGACCTCGCGGAGCCGGGGGCGTACGGCTTCGCGCGGGGAGCCTTGTTCTCTCTGAACCCCGACCCATACCCTCGACTGGGGATCCTCATCCCTTGCCTCTGACCCTTGACCCTGAACTCCAGACCACCTGGTCCACGTTGTAGGCTGCGGGTCCGGGCTTCAGGGTGCTGTCTTGGGGGAACGAAGTCCGCGCCAGCATCGTGAACTGGGGGGCCCGGGTCTTGTAGACCCCGGGGTTCACCACGTGGTAGGCGCAGGGGCCCGGCGTCTGTGGGAGGCAAAGTGAGTGCTGGGTCTGGCCTGGGTTCCCCGCGCACCTCTGACCCTCTTGACCTCTCGCTGCGCTGGGCCGGCGGCCCTCCTCGCACCTTGCTGAGGTCTTCAAAGCAGCTGCCCACTCTGGTGCGGCCGTAGATGGAGTAAGTTGGGGCCGAGACTTTGCCGATGACGCGCGGGCCCAAGAGCGAGGGCACCGTGTAGGCGCCGGGACCTGAAGGAGCCGCCAGGGGTCGGTCACTGCGGTCTGCGCGCGTGCGGGCGGTCCCGGGGCGGGGCCTTTCAGGTCTCACCTGGACCCTGCGGCTCCGCGTGGACACCCCAGTTTCGGGAAGCAATGGTATGTCGAGGCGCACTGGGGTACGTCGCATTCCCGGCTCGTTCTGGGAAATACCTCCCTGGGGGACAGACCAAGGTGTGGGCCAGAACTGGGTGGGGGGTCTGGTGGAGCCGGGTTAGGGTCTTGGAATTGGGAAATCGGAACCACAATTTGTCACAGCCTTGTGGGGCTTGGGGTTCTGGACTTTGAGATCCGGAATATACGATGTTAGGGTAGAGAGGGGGTCTCGGGGTTCAGGTGGGGAGGTTCCCAGGTGCGCCTCCCCGGAGGCGTTGGGGAGACCAGGGTCCCAGGGGGTCCTGACCCGGTCCGGGAGTGCGGAAGGGCGCAGAGTGCCGCAGGCGGCCACAGATGGAGTAGGCGGGGGCGCTGTCCGGGCCGCGCACGGTCATGCGGGAGGGCACCAGGTGGCTGGGCCCGGGGCCGCAGGTTGACTGCTGCGTGGGGAAGCGCGCACCGAAGGTGTAGGCGGGGGCGCGGGGCCGCGAGGGGTCGTGCCGGATGTAGCCTGCGGAACGTCCCAGCATCAACCGGGCCGCCCCCCGCCCTCCCCCAGCACGGCCCACCATCCCCTGCACCGACTCTGCCCCCGGGCTCCGGGTAGGACCACCGCAGCCCAGACGCAAACCCGCCCGGGCGCCCCTCGCCCTCCCCGGAGCCGGCCCCTGCTACCGGTGTTCGGCGGCAGCTGGTATTTGGGCCCGGGTCCTCTATAGAGCGCCGCGATGGGGCCCCGGGGCCGGTGTGGCCGCCAAGGGCCCACCCAGTAGTCCGAGGCCATGACGCGAGCGGGGGCGCGTACAGCCGGCAGCACCTGTGGACAGATGGTGGCGGCCGCGGCCCCTCCACCTCGAATTCGCGGGGAACCCGCGACCCGGCTCCGCGGCGGAGCAGCCCTGGGGGCGGGGCCCACCCCGTATCCCGGGCGCCCGGAAAACAAACAGTGGTGTCCCGGCCCCGCGGCGGGGCCTGGGGCAGCGAGCCACCTTCAGGGCCATCTCGGCCGCCTACCCGCAGACGGGTTTCTGTAGGGGGTGCGCGCGCAGGCCCGGCGCAGACCCCGACCTCGGGCAGGGAATTCCCAATTCATGGGCGGGCGGGCGCGCAAGATTTTAGGGTTGGGGAAGGTTCTGGGGAGAGGAACCAGTTCTAGGAGCGAAGGCCTCGAGATGCACTGACCTGCTGTGCTGGCTCCTGGCTTGGGAAGGCAAAGCGAGAGAGCTGGACACCCTAACTCCCACCCCCGCCCAATGCCAGGCCCCATTGTGTCCCCACCTCGCTTCCTGGCAACCAGACTGCCTACCCCTCCGCCCCCAGCACCCCTGCTCCACCCGGCCCTGGCAGGACTCCTCAGGCCTCTGCTTGGGTCTGCGGCGCTGGCGGGTGGGGTGGGGGTCCTTGACTCAGCCCTGAAGCTGGCCTCACCCTTCTCCAAGTTTTAGCCAGCCCTTCCGGAAGGAGGCAAATACGCAGACCAAAAGCAGGTGTGGGAGCGCTGGGGTTGTGGCTCAGTGGTACAGCGCTCGCCTCTCGCGGGTGCAGGCCCTGGGTTCCATCCTCAGTTCCACATAGAAATAAGTAGATAAAATAAAGATACCAACTACAACTAAAAGTATACTAAGAAAAAAAGCAAGTGTGCGAATAAAGAAAGAATTCACATAGGAAGCCCAGTTTATGTGTAGAGAACTTTGCCCGTATTTAAGTCTGTGGAATAATCATGTATTGGACCTGAAAATAACCGTACAAGTTGAATGAAAGTACAATAGGACACATGACTCGATCACAATCCGATCCAATTCTCTCTCAGCAAACAATCAAATGTAAAAAAATATATATATAAAAAAGGTGGGGGGACACAAGTGTAAGCAATTGGAATTAATAGGTCCCCATTTTAAAACCTCTGGATCAAAAAGATACTAGGTCAGAAGTAACAAACTATCTGACTGTAATCCCAGCGACTCAGGAGGCTGAGCCCGGGGCTGGCAAGTTCCAGGCCAGCCTCACCCATCAGGTGAGACTCTATTGTAAAATTTTAAAGAAGGGCTGGGGATGTAGCTCAGTGATCCTTATGGCTGAGGATCAAACCCAGTGCCTCATATGTGCTAGGGAAGTGCTCTACCACTGAGCCACAACCCTAGCCCATAGCTAAAGCTATATTCAGAGGGAAAATCATAGCTTTCAGATAACCTCATCATTAATGAAAAATATAAAGAAATTTCCAACTTATTTTACAAACAAAAAAGACCAGTTAACTAGAGGAGTGAAACAGGAATGAACACAATATAGTAGAAAGGATCAATAAACAGAATAGATATTTGTGAAAAGAAGACAGGTAAGTAGATAGACACTAGGTGAGCCTGGGACTAGCTCTTGATGGGGCCCACCCAGGTCAGGGTAAAGCCATGGGTGCCTCCGTATATTTTGGAAGGAGGTTTCTTTAGTTGTGCGTCTGGATCAAGGTAACTTCTGTCTGGCCACTGATCCCAGTTAACGTAGGATCGACTTGTAGAGGAAGCCTCCCTGAGTGGGATGCTGTCATGACAGCTTCAGAGAGGACCAATTAGGGTCAAAAACTTCACTACTGGACATGAAGGAGGGGTGAACCATGTAGGAGAGAGCATAATGTGGTCCTTCGTTTTCAGGGCAAATATCAAACAGCAATGAACTTGGAGATGGCACTGTTGCCTTTGTGGTTTTCTGCTGAGAGACATCTCTCTCTCTCTCTCTCTCTCTCTCTCTCTCTCTCTCTCTCTCTCTGCCTCTCTGTTTTCTGCTTGAGCTTCACTTTCCTTCCACTTACAATAAAGTTTTCTTGCATAACTTCTGGTGTCCGACTAAAGTTTTTCCATCTGACGCAAGAGCTGAGGTTTGGAGCTTCAGCTGCTCACACTCCTGTGACAAAAGGGAGAAAGTAAGAGCACACAAAATTAAGAAGAAAACAAGATTCAAACATAGAAAAGAGTGAGTAAAATAATTTGATTTTTCATAGAGCAACTCTGTGACAATAAGTTTAAAAACCTACAAGAAATGGTGATTTTTCAAAACTAAGAATCACCTGATGAACCTAGGAATGAACAATGTCACAGACAATGTTCTCTGTGTATCAGTTAGGAATTACATGTGGCAATGAGTAACTACCTCCCTGTAAGTAAAACAGAAACATTCCCGATCGATGGATCAAATTCCTGTGAGCGTGCGTTTCCCCCATAAGGTAAAAGAAGTCCAGGAGTAAATAGTGAGGCCCCCTGAAGTCTGTAGGGACGAGGTTCTGTGTCTCCACTCTCAGCCCTCAGGTCGGGAGGTGTATGCTCTACCTCCAGCCTAGGAGAAGAGGACCAGAGAAGGACAAAGGTGCAGGTCTAGCTGAGGGTGGCCCCTTCTGGGGGACTTTCCAGGAAACCGTTAATTTTACACTTCTTTGCCTAGAACTATGTCATAGACTTTTCATATGCTGTAAACTGGGAAATATTGTTTAGTTACGATCATTGCTTACTCAGCAAAATTCGGGGCCAGAAAGGGGGATTAAAATTTTGCTATAAAAAAATCTCCCAGTGGGGGACTGGGGATGTGGCTCAAGCGGTAACGCGCTCACCTGGCATGGGTGCGCTGGGTTTGATCCTCAGCACCACATAAAATAAAATAAAGATGTTGTGTCCACCGAAAACTGAAAAATAAATATTAAAAAATTCTCTCTCTCAAAAAAAATCTTTTTTATTATTATTAGTTGTTCAAAACATTACAAAGCTCTTGACATATCATATTTCATACGTTTGATTCAAGCGGGTTATGAACTCTCATTTTTACCCTATATACATATTGCAGATTCACATCGGTTACACATCCACTTTTTTACCTACTGCCATACTAGTGTCTGTTGTGTTCTGCTGCCTTTCCCATCCTCTACTATCCCCCCTCCCCTCCCCTCCCCTCCCCTCCCCTCCCTTCCCATCTTCTCTCCCTACCCCATCTACTGTAATTCATTTCTCTCTCTTGTTTTTTTCCCCTTTCCCCTCACTTCCTCTTATATGTAATTTTGTATAACAATGAGGGTCTCCTTCCTTTACCATGCAATTTCCCTTCTCTCTCTCTTTCCCTCCCCTCTCTCGTCCCTGTTTAGTGGTGATCTCCTTCTCATGCTCTTCCTCTCTATTCTGTTCTTAGTTGCTTTCCTTATATCAAAGGAGACATTTGGCATTTGTTTTTTAGGGATTGGCTAGCTTCACTTAGCATAATCTGCTCTAGTGCCATCTATTTCCCTGCAAATTCCATGATTTTGTCATTTTTTAGTGCAGAGTAATACTCCATTTTGTATAAATGCCACATTTTTTTTTATCCATTCATCTATTGAAGGGCATCTAGGTTGGTTCCACAGTCTAGCTATTGTGAATTGTGCTGCTATGAACATTGTTGTAGCAGTGTCCCTATAGTACGCTCTTTTAAGGTCTTTAGGGAATAGTCCAAGAAGGGGAGTAGCTGGGTCAAATGGTGGCTCCATTCCCAGCTTTCCAAGGAATCTCCATACTGCTTTCCAAATTGGCTGCACCAATTTGCAGTCCCACCAGCAATGTACCAGTGAACCCTTTTCCCCACATCCTCGCCAGCATTTGTTGTTGTTTGACTTCATAATGGCTGCCAATCTTACTGGAGTGAGATGGTATCTTAGGGTGGTTTTGATTTGCATTTCTCTGACAGCTAGAGATGGTGAGCATTTTTTCATGTACTTGTTGATTGATTGTATGTCCTCCTCTGAGAAGTGTCTGTTCGGGTCCTTGGCCCATTTGTTGATTGGGTTATTTGTTATCTTGTTTAATTTTTTGAGTTCTTTGTATACTCTGCATATTAGGGCTCTATCTGAAGTGTGAGGAGTAAAGATTTGTTCCCAGGATGTAGGCTCCCTATTTACCTCTCTTATTGTTTCTCTTGCTGAGAAAAAATTTTTTTATTATTATTAAAAAAAAAAAAATCTCCCGGGGGCTGGAGGTGTATCTCAGTGGTAGAGTGTGTACTTAGGGTGCTCAAGGGTCTGGGTTCAATCCCTAGCACTAAAACCAAAGCAAAGTCAACAAAACCTCACCAGGCCCAAAGAGCTCTGCATGTGATTCCTAACCTTCTCTTAGGACAGATAACTTCCCACTATAAATGAAGCTGTGAGAATGGTGAGGCCTCAGGGTGCTGGGTGCTGGGCCTGCAGAGGACCCCTCCCCAATAGGCCCAGGGTCTTCTCTCTGACTCTACCTTGGTAGTGAGTGCCCTTTCTAATAAATCAGTGAACTTGATAAAGAGTTTCCTGTGTTCCGTGAGCCATTCTAGCAAATGACTGAATCCAAGGAGAGTCTTCCGTGGAGACCCCAATTCAGAGATGGTCCCCCAGGAGTCCTGAAGGTCTGGGTTTGTGCCTTGCCTTTGAAGTGGGGCCTCTGTGGGACAGAACCCTTAGCTTGTGGTGTCTACACTGAGTCCAGGCAGGTGGTGCCAGAACTGGATTGTTGCATCCCCAGCTGGTGTGTGCGGAATTAGAAAACACTAATGTTTTGTGTCAAAAGTGTTCCAAAAAACAAAAGCCAAATGTTTTCTCTGATATGTGGATGCTGATTCAGAGTGGGGGTGGGGCTAGGGAAGAATAGAGGTACTTTAGATTAGGGGGAGAAAGGATCCTAGAATGAATCAGACATTATTACCCTGTGTGCATATATAACTATTCAACCGGTGTGATTCTACATCATGTATAACCAGAAGAATGAGAAATTATACTCCATTATATGTGATGTATCAAAGTGCATTCTACTGTCATGTATAACTAATTAAAATGAATAAAATTTTAAAAAGAAAGTGTTGTGTGAGTAGACAAATGAGAGTCCTTTCAGGGCGGTGGTAGAGTCAGCTTGGGTGACTTGAATCAGGTGTCAACTGCTTCTCTGCAAACCAAAGCTAACACTGTCAACCTGAGGAACTGGGTGAGCACACCTACTATTACCACATGATCTAACACTGCCTTGAAGGTTCTAGCACAGGCAATAAGAAGAGAAAAGTAGGGGCTGAGGGTACAGCCCAGCAGGCGCATAGCCCTGGGGCCCTGGGTTTGATCCCCAGCACCTTCACAGGTACAGACGCATGGCAGCTCTACAGCAGCAGTCCCAGCGGTCCCACAGGTTACCATAGAGC